TGTCATGCGTGGTCTCTGATGATGCCTCCCCCACTCGCAAAACCATCCTTAACGCATCCATCAGTATTGATCTTGACAAATCCGATTGGTGGAGTACGCCACCAAACTAGAATAGGGAGAGATGGTAATGGGGATCCATAAAAATACCAAATATGGGTGCAAGTGTCAAATCCTCTCTCCAATGCATCACATGAAGCAGTCCTCCCATGTGAAAAAAGGAGATCATGCGATAAACCTTCCAAATGATACGTTTAGCAACAATGTGAATCCCCCTATGCTTCGCATCATTCCTTGCGGTCCATAGGTACCAAAATATTAGTAGAGAAATGATAATGCGAATGTGTCTATAACGAACATAATGTCCAAAATATCTCCATCTCTAGAATCTCTGTCTGACTCCATCTCCTGAACTCATAAGTATTTGAAAAATATCCCCAAAATGCTGCCATACCTGATTAAAAAAATTCAGAATTTTATGCAAAATGTATTCTATAACATGAGTAAAGCCGATTGAAAATCCTAGATAAGGAACCATTACAGGGATGCAAGGTTATCCATATAACAGAGCCACTTGTTGTAAAAATACATTTATCCTAGCAAACACCTCAAAAAAAAAAATCCTAGCATACACCTTTCTTCTAGACATGACAATAGAATCATAAAGGGCATCCACGTTATCACAATAATAAAAGAAGATATGTAAACATGTCTGTATTTTCCATTAAATCAAATGAACAGCATCTTCAATAGGTTACCAAATTAACATGTGGAAAGGCAAGAATCATGAAATTAATAGCATTTTACAAAATAAAAATTTTAAAAACTATATGAAATAAACAACTTTCGATACGCTTGGATCGGGATATATTTATATTGCAGTAGAAAATTAATCTTGAAAAGGCAATTAGTTTTGAAAAGAATTCAATTCCAAATAACGATAACATCTTAATATAGCCTTAATGTAATAGTAAGTCATCCTGAGAGAGAAGAAAACATACTTGACTCCATTCAAAGAGGTTTAACCACTAGTACTTTATACTTAAATGTGTTCAATAAATGGTGAGATGATCATGTTTGATGGCTCAACAAAAGAGGTAGCAGCACTATAGAAACCAGTGGCAGACCCAGCATCTAATCTCAGCCCTTGTCAATGTCGACAATCAGCGATCGTAAGAGAGATGTCGTTTATTAATATTTTATTATATAATA